CACACACACACACACACACACACACACACACACACACACACACACACACACACACACACACACAGGTAACTTTCATCACCCAAGCTTCCGTCGTCCTTCGGTTAATGCCAGTTTCCTGTGTTTTTCCGTTAATGTGCGTTAGCATCTCTGCATGTTCCAGTTTCTTTTCTCCTTGTTTTCTTTTTATTTTGCTCATGATTATTTTCTGTTCATCATTTGGGGAACGATGCCTTCCAGGGTGGATTGTGCTGTTTTTGTACGGAGCTCAATGACACAAGGAGGCCTGCCACAGGGCCTGCCTGACCTTTGACCTGTACATCTTTACGTTAAGCGTGCTCTTTCTCTCTCTCCACGTTTCTTTGTGTCTCTGCTGCAGGATGGAGGCACTAGGGGGCGGCGGAGTGCCATGGAGGCCGACCTCAAGATGAAGAAGTAGTGCAAGAGGGGGCTGAGAGCCGCTCTTCGAATCTTGCAGCTGATTGCTTTCTGGTCACTTTGGTCGTTTTCTGAAGAGGACTGTGCCGTCTCCATGTGCCTGGTTTTTGTGTGCACACACACACCTATACTAAGGGCCATAAGTGTGTGTGTGTGTGTGTGTGTGTGTCTGAGAGAGCTGTACAGTGTTTTCTCCGCTCCCATTCATGGGGTGCCATGGGATGTTGCACCAATTTTCCCAAGAATAATTTCACCAGCACGGGTAGCGGGGGTCATAATTTGCGGATAGAGAACAATACTTTCACCAGCAACCGTTTGTTTGGGATCAGATGGGAACGGGCCAGATGAGTTCTACTTGGCAGATTTGATCACTTTGAGTCGTGCATACGTCCGGCACCCGATTATGCTCAGCCCCTTTGGGCTGAACAGACGTCAACAACGAAGATGGCCACATGAGCAACCATGATGTATAGTTCCACAAATTCAAAGCGAGTCTTCTAGTTCTGCATGTTGGGCTGACACCACCCCGAGCAAAGAAATCTGTTAGTTTGATCACTGCTAAAGCATAATGGTAAAATAAGAGTTACTTAAAATATTTCATAAAATAGATTTCTGATCTTCTTTTTGGTTGCAAAATTGTGGTTTGTGTCTTCTATTAATAGTAATTTAATTGATTTGATTCAATCTATTGGCCATTGTCTACCAGTGCATGTTTCAGCCCATTAAACTGCAGATCCTTCACTTTTCTACTGATCGTACTTCTGAGTACAATTGATAATAAGGGTAATTATATAAATATAGATAAAATTCAGCCACAGGTTAAACTCAGTGTAACACTTTCAGCACTGAGCAGGGCTGCCACTGATGTTTGGCAACAAGCTCTTAACCTGAGGTATCGACAGCACCAAAAAAAGGCTTTCAAAACATTACCCGGCTCTACAAAATATTTAATTAGGTTGACCTCAAATGTCAAAGCCCTCCTTTTACAAGGAAATACACTAAGGCCCAAAGTTGCCCTTGAAGCAGCTTTAAATACCAGTGGTTTGACAAAACAGCTGTTTTTTAATGGGCTTTAACAGATTGTTGCTGAATCATTGCCACTTATTACTTAGGATGTAGGCTGTGCATAGAGCACAGGAAAGATTTTTGTAATGCGTGTCAAGGAGTGAAGTTTTGTACTGGAAAAGGTTCATGTAGTTGTGTTTGGGTAGCTGATACATTTGTGTAAATTTGTTAATAAAGATTTGATCTAAACGTGTAAGGGATCAGTTTGGGATTTAAGCAGCATTTCACTTTGAATTTCTTGAGTAATGATTAACCTGACAAGGGGAATTCATTCTGTGGGAACAGTTTCCTGGTAACTGCATTTTGTGCCCTCAGGCTTATTGTAATCAGGAACAGGATTATTTACAGTTTCTATTACCTGTAAATGGGTCTGTAATTATGATGGTATCACAGGGTCTGTGTGATCCCAGTGTTCAAAAGAAACATGCAAACACAGCACTGAAGTTGTGCAAAAGGTTTATTTTGCATTCTGTATATTAAGAGGCATCTTTCAGGAATGAGGCCTGCCCAATCCTGTACTGACACACTTCCAGTGTACACATCTTTACATTCAAATACTGGTGCAAAAATACTGTCACCAACTACAGAATAGAGGAAAGCGAAAAATAAATATAAAAAAGAAGAAAAATAGTGGGCCTCCTGTCAGACTTTCATACAGAAAAATAAATAACTCACTTTAAAAACTACAGGAAGGCAATCAGGTTCCAGTGCATGGCAGACTACATGTAGCTGATGGTTAAAACCACACACGGGTAATGGTTTAGCGTCTCATCTTCACCCCTAGTTGAAGTCGTGAACAACAGGACTGGCAGAGGAGTAGAGCTTCCTCTTGACCAGCCGGTACTCTGGTCTCAGCTTCAAAACTTTGTTGCCATCGAAGATGTTCTTGAATGACGGCCAGCCGTCACTTTCTGCCTTGAAGACCACAGATAGCTCGAAAGTCGGTGTGACGCTGGAATCGGGGAAGATGCTCCCGATGTACTTCAGGCCATCTTTGCCATCGATGTAGAGCTTGATGGAGGCCCCCCGGAGCCCACAGGGCTCATCAGCAGAGGCACGCACCACATCCTGACTAATCCTGGTGGTCATGTGGCGAGGCAGCAGGAGCACCTGGCAGTTGAGGATGGAAGCCTTGGCCTCAGTGAGGCGACGCTCCATCTGCTGAGTCACAACCTGCTGGAAAAGCCGCTGTTCGTGCTCCAGACCGGCGTCCAGGTCAGCAACTGAATAAAGAGACAAAGCAGCGTCAGAATGAGAAACAAGTCACACCATCTCATTAGAGTTTAATATCCACGTCAAAGGGTCCCTCTTCTCTACACTAGCAACGTTGAGTGTCAGACCCTTGAATCAATTCACTTTAGACAGATTTTAAATCACGTGAAAGCTGCAATTAATATAGTACGTCACCAGAATAAAGGCTTTGCATCAGCAGCGAACAAGGAAGCGCTCTGAAAAGCTACGCAAGTGATCAGCTGATCCAAAAGCTGAAGGGCTTGCATCAGGCGAGTGTCCTGTGAACGAGCACTGCCAGTTCAATGCCCCATTGTTCTAGCGCGAAGGTTTAGTTACTTCCAACCGGTTCCATGGTTTACTTTGGACCATTGATATTTAAATAGCATTAGCTGTGTTTGAAGGCTCTGCCAGCCAGAGAGAGAGAAGTCCTTAGATTAGGAGCACTTAAGGAAGAACCTTCGCCTTTTAAAAAAAAAAAAACTGGATAAAAGTATATAAAAAAAACAAAACACTAACTTTATGAACAACTTACAGGATGAAATGCTCTCGCTTTCTTCGTAGCTCTCGACGCTTCCCCGCCGGGATGAACTCATCTTTTGTCCTGTTGTCTTTAGCGGACAAAAGCACTTTCCTATCATCTCTACGACGTTTTCTTCCTCCGACAAGAGGTGTCCAAAGACCAGAGCCGAGCTATAGACCATCCTGATTCCTGTTTGTGAAGCACCGGTATCTCCTCCGAGCGTTTGGTCTGTGTCTTCTCCATGTATCGAGTTGGTTGAGCTGAGCGGCTGCTGTCTGTGAGCGCGGAGGTCTTATACCCGAGCTGTCAGTTGCGTCAGCTGAGCAATCGCACGTGTGGGCGGGGCTTGGTGGATTGAGCCAGAAATTTCCGGATCACGCAACGCGCGAGGAGATTGCAGAAAGTTGGTGTAAAAGCTCAGTAGTTATGTGTAATATTTAGTTTTATTATTCTTTTTTTTTAATGGAGATATTTACTTATGTATCGTCCTACCTTGTAATATTTTGTGCCTTGTACACGTCTGTTGTTTTTAACTATATATATTTATGAAAGTTTCAGCCTACAAAATAATATTAATAAAAGACTAAATAGATTTTAAAAAAGATAAATGACACATTAAAACAATTATGACATTAAAAGCACCAAAATATATCAAATAATGGACAAAATTAGTAAAATGACTTAAATTAACATTGTGTTTTTACTACCTGTTTTTACCTTTGTTTTTCCATTTCATTTTCCTTTCAGTTTACCTCATGAAAAACATTCCATTTTTGATGTATTTGTATTTATTTTCTAACTCCATTCCCACACATTTTAAGAGTATTTTCTTAAAACATTTTATGACATTTTCTAACATTTATTTTTATAACCCTGTAATATACAAAAATTTTAGATTTCCTGGAGAAAGGTTTGTAAATTTATATTTTTTCAAGTAACAAATAATCCCAAAAAAAAAAAAAAAAGTGGGCAGGCAACCATTCATTATAGTAAATAAGCTGAATAAGGTTTACAGTCAGTTCATACATGATTTTTGAAAACTCAAGATCAAAACAGAGAATATTTGGATTTTCCACATAATTTATATTTCCCTATTTTTCCAGAAAACCATATGGGAAGTAACATTTATTATCTATAAAAATTTTAATTCATATAATGTAGAAAACACACAAAGTTCACTTTTCTTCAGTCATGCTCCAGGACCTTTATTTGTAGTAGAATATTTGTATTAGCATGTGTCTGTAAATGAAGGCTCTAAATACCTGATTTAAAAAACTACTAGTACTAAAAAAAAATACTAATAAATGAACATGACATACAGGCTGCCATGGAAATATACTAGCCTGTGACGAAAATATAGGTCAGTACAGTGGGTGTTTGTGGTGTCAAGTTGAATACCACATCAGCTTTCACACAGAAATCTTCCATTGGGCTAATAGGTTTGTGGTAGTTTATTATTCATATGCAGTAAAATTACCTTTTTTGTCAGATACATATTTAACACATCTGGGCTTCTGGGTTTGGATTGTTCTCATGAATTTATCTAAAAGTGGCCTGCTGCAGATCCAAAGGTTTAAGCAATCCATCTAACTCTTATAACTGCACACAAGATTCCTCTGAATCCCACAGTGTTGTTTTCAAGTCCAGACACGATGGCGTCATAAATCATGCATTGCTCACAAATGACTAACTGTCTAATACACACCAGTCATTTAAATTCACATTCATCTGGCGAGGGAAAGGAGCTTTATCCTCCAATCAAAGGACAGTGTTTCCATGACACCAAATAGCTCCTTGCTTTAAGTCCAACCTACTTAGGTTATGTGAGAGCAGATAACAGTAGGTTACAGGTTAAAGACTCACACCTGAGTCATGGTTTTGGGAAATCTCCCTGCTGTGAAACGTCACAGCTGGCAGCCAGTCACGTTCAGACTAGCTGGTGTCGTCAAGTCAGAGGCTCGCCACTAAGAAGGAAGCGTCTTTCTGTGGAAATGCAGGGGAACTACACTGTGAGGTGACAAGGAAATGCAATGTATAGTGACAGTGCTGTAAAACCAACACTCACTGTTTAAGACATCCAGTGTGGTGTGTGTGTTTTTTAATTACACAACTATTCAGAATAAGCTTTCTGTGTTATGTCACTTCCAAAGTAAACTTCACACATGTAGTGTGTGAGGCGAGGGGTTTAATAACAGAGACTCAGATTAAGTTGTCACACTAACACAATTTTAAATGCATAGATTATTTTTGATACGCAAGTCTGATATGGCCTCATGCAACCGGTGATTTGCACCTGTTTTAAACCCTCTGCACTTACATTCACCAAGGCATCTCTTGATGACATTGTCCTCCAGAGTGTTGTCAGGACTTGGTTGTTGCTTTTAATAGCCAGAGAAATAATTCTGTGATCACCCTCTTCAGTTTCAGGCATTCCCAGTGCCCCTACTGTTTAGCTTCTGAAAATGCAGGAAAATGTTCAAAATTCCCAAAAAGTCCAACTTTTGTTTTCCTTGAATGAAAGCTACGTCCACTGTGGTGGTGCAGAGAAGCACAAAGACAAGATTTGGATCACTGTCTATAAATGTATGGACCTTAATGTAAAGCATAACAATAATACAATATATAATTCATTAAACTTAAAATAAAGTTTATTAGTGAACTCTATTATGAAGTGTTACCTTTGGTTCTTTTATTAAGATATTAAGAAAAGCTGCAAGGTGTGAGTACATGTGACACTAAATGATTCATATAACATATCCTTCTCAAAGTGAACAACACTTACTGCTATTCCGCTGACTCACTGCTGTAATTATAAAACGTCCTGTGAGCATTCAGAAATGTGAGCAGAGGAAAAATCATGTGCAAACAGAGCACCTTTCATTTAGTGCTAAGGAAGTGTTGCTACGTAAATGTAAATGTGACTTTTCTTATTCTTTTCTTATTTGTTTATTTATTATACTTTTATTATTGCTGCCATGGTTCTTAAATGTTTTACCTGCTGCACTTTTTAACTTATTAACTTCTGGATTAAATGTGTGACCTCTAAAACGATCACTGTCTGTGGCATATTTATTATCAGCAGTGGGGAAAGAAGGCTACATATAAATGAGGGAAAAGAGAAAAACTGGAAAAGTATAAAATTCAAAAGAGTTCATGTAAAGTCATGGTATTTAGTAAAGAAGAGGGAAGAGGAGGAAGATGTGTTCAATGACTGTATAAACAAAAGAAGCGGTCACAAGATGTCTGGCACCAAGCCTGTTTATCTGCATTTCACATGCACTCACAAACACCTCATGACTGGGAGCGCAGCCGGTGAAACTGCTCCGCGAGGTTGCATCAGATCAGTCGACAGCCACGGGGATCTGATCCAATTGTGCTGCATTATGAACACAGAACAGTTGTGGGGTTTATAATATTTAGATCGATAAAAGAGCAGAAAATGGAGATGAAACCGTGCATCAAGTGGACTCGACAGGCAAACACAAGTTATTGTTCCACAACCCATAAAAGTAACAAAGTGGAATTTTTTTCCCCTTTTGGCCTTCAGATGAAAAAATCTGCAAAGGAAAGCAGTCGTCTTTGGTTGCTCTCATGTGAATTAATCTCCACATTAAGGCCTAATGCTCATAACACTGAAAATACATGTTTAAGGGAAACATAATTCAGATGTTATTATATGAAAAAAGACTTGAATTCAGTGTTGAAGATGATAAGCATTCAACATAATAGGAACTAGTGAATTATGATGTTATTAGCTGATTTTGTAATATTTAGCTGGAGTTAAAAACAAGACAAAATGTGTGTTTTATGGAAGTTCATACGATGTACACCACTTCATATGAAGACGCTTCTGCTTTGGAGAAAAGAAATCACTTTTAGCTGAAGATACTTGTAACAAATTCTTTCATTCAGCAGTGTAACTGAATGTAACTGCGTACGCTAATATTTAATGATTGTAATTCTTTGTTCGATTAAAACAGACGCATGAGGCAAGTCCAACCTGTTTTCCTGAGAGGAGCAAAACAACACAACATCCCACACAGCTAACATCAGCTGACACACTGATGGATAGATAGGAATGAGCGCATTGTGGCAAAGCAAACACACAGAGCAGGCTGTTTACTAAATGTGAAGTTAAAAGTTAATATTAGTGAATTGACTTCGTGTGAAAATATTTCAGCTCGTGGCACAGCTGTTATTAAACCCCTCGCCTCACACGCCTCGGTACACACCATCAAAATGCTGGACTGTGAATAAAGATGTGTGGAACTTTTTGTAAACCCTCTTAAATCGAAGCTGAAAGTTGGCACTTGAAGTGCCAACTTTGATGGTGGTGTACCGAGGCACAATTATAAAGACTTTGTTAATTTCCAAATACCAGTGGACCTACCTGTGCTGATTATGAACATAATAATAATAATATCTACAAATGTGGCAGCTTTTATAGTGTTTTTGCACAGCATTCAAATGCTGTGCTTGTAATCGAGGCTTCATCACTGATCCATGAGCCAGTCTTCATTCTCAAGACTTTAAAGTATTCAGAGTTCCCCAGTAGTCCTTTTGGTCATGTGATACACATATTACAAGTATAATGCAACCCTGTGATGGAGTGAGTTGAAAAAAACAGGAGTCACAGGAATTATTAGAAAAATAGGGTTTCCATTTACTTAACCCCAAAATTACATTTACAAAAGTAATAAATGTTGAGCTCAAGAGGTCAAAGAAACAAAACTAAACTCAGGCAAAGAACTGAGCAAATGAATGCCCAGACAAACATAACTGACCTAAACAGGAAATGCCTCACAAGGGTATAGATAATGGCTGATCAGACCACTATGACACGCGAGGGGTAACTAAACAAAACATAGTCATAAAGTACAAAAACACCAACTCCCAGGCACCATGGCAGGTTAGTCAGAAGAAGCAACGGTTAGTCAAAGATCAAACAAAGTAATGAACTGGTATGAATACATAAGTAAAGTAAATGTGTGCGCTTAAAAATAGAACAAATGTATCCAAACCAATCAATAAACTTATTGGAAACTAAAGTGTGTTTTTGTGTTCAGATAAAAAAAAAAAAATACATAGGGGTTACGGACTTTTAGAGTGTGGCCATGGGTTTGATCATCACAATCCCAAATTTGACTTAACTCTAATTTTACTTCACAATAATAACTTTCCTGCGTTAACAAAGCTAAACCGACAGCAAAGGCAGAAGGAAAGCTGACGGGAAAACTAAACTAAACAGTAAAATAAAAAAGAAGAAAAGCTGCAGTTTCAGTCTTGTGACTTCCAGCAACATCGTCCACAATCGTACCGCACGCATGTTAACTGGAATTATAAACATCGGTTAAACCGTAATAACTTTATAATAGCAATCCAAATAAAGTTTACAGATTTATCGTTTTACAGACATCATTTGCACCTTTACAAAAACCTTTTTAAACCTTTATTAAAAACCATTTATGAAATAGTACATTCATTATTGTTACATTCATTGTTTACTGTGTTGATTCACAGTTGATTAACTATCAGTGTCCATTTATGACAGTTATTCCAGAATATCACCTAACAAAAATCTTGTAAAGCTGTATTGATTAAATATTGAGTTTAGTACATAGACATGAACATGTTGCACAAGCATGTTTTAGTGTAAATGAATGAATGTAATTAAAATTTCAGCTTAAAAAACTGCAGGGATTTATTCCATAAACTAGCATCTTTGAAATAAATTAGGAAGGCTGATAGATGATTCTAGTTCTTTTTGATGCGCCACCTGACTTTTGCAACTACTATTCACTTTGAACTTTTACTCGGACACCTACATTAACCTTTGTGTTTGGTTGTGAGAGCACAGATATAATTTTCTAAATGAAAGAAAGATTTTGATGATAAATCAATGTTTTCCTAGTTTTACAGATCGTTCATGGAAGGCGTAGCAGCCCACAGATGAGCTGAATTTGGCTGTTTTTAGCCATATTTAAGGGAGAGCTGCTGACCTTTTCCTCCTGCTTCAAAGAACACCTTTGGATCCTTTGTGTGCTGAAATATCCTTTTTACAATGTTAATTTTTAACTTCACAATAAAAGTCTCATGTTTA